CTACTTCGCCTTTCTACATTCTCCAAACCCACAACAGTAGTGCAGCTTTCTTACCTCTCCTGAGCTTTGCCAATTCCCCTCTGCTGGTCTCTGTTATACAATAATGTATGTATGTATGTATGTATGTATGTATGTATGTATGTAGAGAGTCAATGCAGTGTAGTGGTTAAGGCACCAGGCTAGAAACCAGGAGACTGGGAGTTCTGGCCCTGCCTTAGACACAAAGCCAGCTGGTTGACTATGGGGCCAGTCACTCTTTCTCAGCCCTAGGAAGAAGGAAGCAGGGGCAAACCACTTCCGAAAAACCTTGCCAAGAAAACCGCAGGGACTTGTCCAAGCAGTCGCCAGGAGTCAACACTGACTCAAAGGCACACACACAGACACAAAAAGTATTTATTTATTTATCAAATTTATATAGCCAGCCATCTCACAAATGTGACTCTAGTGGCATACGATAAAAACAAAACAATGAAAAACAACCTTAAAAACCATTAAAATTAAGAACATAAACAAAACCATGGGAGAGTACCTTCAAGGTCTTACATGCAATATAGCCATTTCATAGCTTCCTATTTCCATGGGATCTCCAAGCCTGCTGACAAAACCAAGTTTTAAGGGATTTCCAGAAAATCAGGAAGGATTAGTGGGGATGATGTTCCACAGGGCAGATGCCACAAAAGAGAAGGCTCTCCTCCTGGGTACCATTGGATGGAACTCCTTAGCAGGCAGGACCCGTAACGTGCCTCTCATGCCAGACCTGATGGGACAAGTAGATGTAACTGGAGATGATGGTCCCTCAAATAAATCTCCTCTATAGAGATTCTCCTCATCAAAACAGTGTCTGTATCGTGAAGGTGCTGATATTGTCAGCCTGAATTAGGTAGCAGCCTGATGCTAAGAGTCAGGTCATCCCATCCCTTCCTGCAATAAACTCTTTAAAAAGTGGGGCTCCAGCTTTTGCTCTCCCTCTTAAGGAAGATGCTTCATAGGTGATACCCTATGAGTATCAGGATGGATCAATAATCTATCATTTGAGGCGTCATTCTTAGTTATCCAACTTGAAATCCCAGTAACCACTCTTATTGTGAAAATAATGCATTCAAATGATTCTCTTTTTTCTTGCTTGTTTTTTTTTTAAAGATAATCTTGCATTCAATGCATAAGTATCAACCGCGCATCCATGTTATTTGCAAAGACTTCAGCACTGACCTGTCTCCCACAAAGCCAGTCCCCACAGGTGATGGGGTGAAAACCTTCCATTTCCCAGAGACAGTCTTCACCACAGTCACCGCTTACCAAAATCAGCAGGTAATGAAAGAGGACCTCTGCAAGCCTTCTCCTGTCTCAGCATTAGTTTTGGTCCTTACTGCAAAAAGGTGTGCCTCTTGTCACCCCTTTTATTTAAGCTGTTTAACAATGAGCTAGAAAATGCATAGTATTCACAAACAGGCATCTTTCTCAAAAATATGCTCATCCTTTTGCCAAAAAAAAAAAAAAAAAAGATCTGTATTAACTCTGATCCAAGTTCTGACCTGGCTCCCTCTCTTTTGTATCCAGTTGACAGATCACATTCCTACAGGGAACAGAGATATTTGTGGGACAGACAAGACCATCCTAGCCAGGGTTGGACAAAGGGATTTCCTCACTTATCCTAGTGTTACAAGCTGGGTGGTTGAGTAGCTTCATGGGAGCACGCTACTTCATTCTGAGTTTACCACTTCATGAGTTTAAGACAGAATGTAAAGGTTTATTTAGGATTAGATTATAAAGAAACAAAAGGGAATGGGGACTAAACTAACTGTAGATTCTTCACATTTGTAGAATCTACAGTTGGCAAGCGCCATCTTTAAAAAATTTCAAAACCCATATTAAAGTAATTCTAGGTCGCAAAATAGTGTGCAAACTTCTAAAAACTCATAATCAGGCAAAATGAAAAAGAGAGAAAGGTAAGAAGAAGATAAGTGACTAATCTTCAAGCCATGTCTGTGTTACATCTACTCAGCTGGAATGTGAAAACAGATTGCAGACATGCAAATTGGCATATTCCTATCAGCTCTAAAAGTTCTTGGGAAGGGGAACTCAGAGCCTTCTTGTGGACTACCCAAATGAAGAAGGGCACATAATTGATTTCCCAATTTATGGGTTGGGAAACATACAGTGCAGTGGTGCACTTTAACCTATTTCTCTTTTTTTGTGTAAAACCTAAGTAGAATTGGCATTTTTGATGATGCACAATGTAAAGAAAGTTAATAGAAGCCAAATCAGGCAGTATTACCTGTAGTTCAACAGGATATAGTTTCAGAGGACAAAACTGTGACTTTAGATGGTGTAAATCTCCTATCTGTAATTCAGATCTCACTGTTGAATAGCTGAAACGTGTACAGATTATGATATTTTAAGACCTCCAGATTACTAGCACGGGGATATTTTTTCCACACATGAAACAAAGCATTAGTAAGGAAGAGGTTGCTGACTTTCTGGAAGGTTAAGTTTACAGAATAAGTTTCCCTGCTGAAATATTACATATTGTAATTTAACCTAAGTGGTTGTTCTGGTAGGGCATGATGTAAGACACTTCAGCAGGGAGAGCTCTTTTAACCCTAGAATCCGGCTGTGCTGGGTGTGTTTAGGGTGTCTCTTGCTTAATTAAATTGCTTTAATTAATGAGATGATATTAAACAATATCAATTAAATCTGAGCATTTGACTCTTGATGGCATCTTCCATGAACCTACAAATGAAATTGGCAACTGGATCTATATACCTATTGATTCATGGATGAACAAATATGTAAACAAATTTATCTTAACTGGAGGAAGAAAAATAGTAAGTATAGTTCCATTACAATACATCTGTAGACTGGTCATCTTAGTTATAATTTAGTAGAGCAAGGGGGAATAGCAGCTTGAAAGAAAAAGGCAGATGGGAAAAATACACTGTAATCAGCAGTAGACTGCATTCCTCAGAGGAACAAAATTTGTTACAAATCATGAACAGGAGAACTGCAACATGGATGACAAGATTACCTGTAAATATGGAAAATATTCAGAAGAACTCCAGCAGAAACCATCTAAATGTCGATATCTATCTATCTATCTATCTATCTATCTATCTATCTATCTATCTATCTAATCATCATCTATCATAAATACTGAATCGATTTTGCAGAATATAAAGAAGAATATTTTTACAACGTTATG